TTTTCCAAGGTTGGCTCACATGTGGGTGGCACGACAAAGGCCCAGTTTGTCTTACCCACTTTGACACATGTTGAGATCTGCTAGAAGTGGACAGTGACAGGTCATCGCGGCTGTGGCTGGTCGAGTGGTCGGTGTAGACCAGCAACCAGAGCTGGTGGCCGAGGCGCTGGAGCAGCACTAGAGTTGACTGAATGATATGAATCCTAAGGGACCTCAGATTGGGCCTTTGAACTATAGTGACTTTAGTCATTTTTAATCACTTAGTTGATTGTTGATTGAATGGCAAGTAGTGGTATCACGCCGCAGCCCACATGGCGCCTCACCCAAGGCTCGTGAAAAGCACCCAGAGATTCAATTTGAGGACTGATGGACTTGCACAGAAACAACGACTTGCAAAGGTTGAGCAAGGGGTGCAACCTGCGTAGGTTTGGCTAGGCAACAGACATGCAAAACATTGTCGCAGAACTTTGATGCCTTCGACTCTGCAAAGCTAGTTGCGTGGACCTTGGTGCGGAGAGTTTTTGATTAAAGCATTGAGGTTATCACACAAGGTTTGCAAGAACCCAAGAAAGCACTGAATGTAGTACCTGTAGGAAGGCAAAGGTCACTCTTGGCTCTAAAGACTTTAAGTCAACAAATGCTTAGTGGCCTTAGTGCTGCTTCACCCTGCCAGATTCCTTTGAGGCATTGACGAAGTCGCTTCACCCTGCCAGATTTACGAAGGCCTCCTAAGCTCCTACTTGCATTCAATTATGCCCTTGCTTATTTCACTCGTCACGCGTGTTGGAATTTCTGCGTGCTCTACAGATTGGGATATTCAAGAATTTGATAGATTTTGTACACAGATTCCGGACTATATAGTTGGGGATGAGAACACTTGGAAGAGGTGGCAGGGTACTCATCTAGCATCGGATCGAGATTTGACAAATAGCACAGCACAATTTTCTGATTTGTTTTTCTGGATTTTCATGTCCTTGGAAGAGTATCAAGGTATAAGTTCCAAATTTTGATGAGCTCCGTGCATCGTTGCAAGAGTTTTCGTCCGGGTATATATATACTTGAATCAATGATTTGAGCATGCATTCCAGTGTGCCCAAACTGTACACACACACATATGCAGCCCAAGTCGATTCTGAATATTGAGCGAGGGCAACACGGGGCAACACGACATGCTGTTTACTGCATTGATCACTACGAGTGATCACTAGTACTACTCGTAGGGCTTGCGGTGATTTAGATTCTCAGCCGCCTGGAATGCTCGAAATCGATTCCGACTGCAGACCTCTTCGATTCCAGGTCTTTATCGACATAAGTGGGAGCCGCGATTTGGCGACAGTGCCCCGCTTGAGTTCAGCACAGGTCATGAGCCATTGCATGTGCATTGCTGACGTCCTTGCCTCGTTTCTGGCACACCAGGTCTTTCGCATGATGGACTTGATAGACAAGATCATAAGCCCAGACGCAATGGTCGTGAAATCCCAGGCTATGGCAAGAGTTTAGCACGGTTTTCATTGCCCATAGCCATAGCTATATACCATGGTTTCATCCTTTCTTCTGACGTTCCTGTTTGAAAGCCAGCTTTTCAGCATGTGACAGGCTCTGAAGAAAATGATGCTTCGGACACGTTTATGGATAGAGCATCCTCTGAATCAGAAAGTGCTTTGATGCCTCAAAGAGACGAGTTTTCCCATGACATATGATGTTTGATGTTGAGAGACACTCATCCGCATGGTTTTGAGATATGTCGCCCTTCCTCAAGTTTCTCTGTCTGAAGTTGTTCGATGTTGAGCAAGACCCAAGGTCGTGCTGCATCAATTTAAGTCACTTGCCAAGACTGCCTGTCAATGTGCCAATGACGCCCACCATGAATTTGTCCTGCACGAACGCGTCTCAGCATCAGTGTCAAAAGGAGTTTGCTTGTAGTGGCCGCATGGATGCCTTTTTCAAAATAAAACAGTTTTCCCGAATGCGTAGCGAAGGGTTCTTGTTTAACTCGGGAGTCTGAGGGTAGAGCTGTGTTTGCCCGACGTTGTTTTCGAGTTCGCAACCGTTTGCAACCGTCTGCAACCGTCCGCAACCGTCCGTGTGATGTCTCTATGGCCCTGCCATTGGGGGAAGCTTTTGCAAGTGACTTTTCATGGATGTGTCACGTGTCAGTTTGCGCCGCTATTACATTGTGATTTGCATGAAAGTGACATGTCGCGCAAGAAACGTGATGCATTTCGCTGCACAGACGCAGGGTTTCGAGAAAGTGACACGTTTGTGTCGGTATTCCATTAGGATTAGCGTTTGGAGAGTCGTGTTTTTGGGGTGTTGGATGTGGCCGTGCCATTGGGATTTGCGTTTCAGGGTGTGGCGTCGAAGCTCTGTTTTCGTGACAAGTCTCAGCTGAAATGGCGATTTTGGTGGATGCGAGTGTGCTCAGAACGGGTCGAAATCATTCCAAACGTGTGGTGTGGTGCAAATTTTGTTGAAGCTCCATGAGATGATATTGTCACTTTTCGTGGCAGGCGCAGTACTTTGTGCGGGCTATGAGGCGTGGAAGTGCGATTCTCGTGGCAGGCGCAGGGAATCGTGAGGTTGCGAGGTGTGACGGAGGTGACATTTCGTGGCAGGCGCAGTACTTTGTGCGCGTTAGACGTGTGGACGCGGAAAGATTCGTGGCAGGCGCAGGGAATCGTGAGGTTGTGAGTTGTGGTAGAGGTGAATGCCGCTGTCACATTGAAATTGGCGTGTGAGCGGGTGGTGTTTGGAGGGGCTGGAATCGCGAAACTGCCTGGCAGGGCTGCGTGATGTGTGTGCTCCGATGGGTGTTTCCGCTTGACTTTTGGAGGAAGTCTCGTACGAAACGCTCGTTTTGCAGACTTTGACGTGTGAGTTTTTGAGGAAGTCTCGTACGAAACGCTCGTTTTGGAGACTTGACGTGTGACTTTTTGAGGAAGTCTCGTACGAAACGCTCGTTGGAGACTTGACGCGTGACTTTTGGAGGAAGTCTCGTACGAAATGCTCGTCTTGCAGCCTCGAAGCGTGACTTTTGGAGGAAGTCTCGTACGAAACGCTCGCATGACTGCTTCTAGTGTGTGGGCAGACCGTGTGGCGACACGACATTCGTGATGGCGCAGTGCCATTGGGATTTGCGCAAAGAGTGTCAAGAGAGAGTGTCAAGCAAGAGTGTCCAGCAAGAGTGTCTAGCAGAGTGTCAAGCAAGAGTGTCCAGCAAGAGTGTCAAGCAAGAGTGTCAAGCAAGAGCGTCAAGAGAAAGTGTCAAGAAAGATTGTCTAGCAAAGAGTGTCAAGAAAGAGTGTCAAGCAAGAGTGTCGTGTCAAGAGTGTCGTGTCAAGAGTGTCCTGCAAGAGTGTGAAGCAAGAGTGCCCACCAAAAATGTCAAGCAAGAGTGTCAAGAAAGATTGTCTAGCAAAGAGTGTCAGGAAAGAGTGTGTAGCAAGAGTGTCAAGCAAGAGTGTCCTGTCAAGGGTGTCCAGCAAGAGTGTCTAGCAGAGTGTCAAGCAAAGAGTGTCAAGAAAGCAAAGAGTGTCAAGAAAGAGTGTCACGCAAGAGTGTCCAGCAAGAATGTCTAGCAAAGTGTGTCCAGCAAGAGTGTCCAGCAAACGTGTCAAGCAAGAGTGTCAAGATAGAGTGTCAAGCAAGAGTGTCCAGCAAGAGTGTTTAGCAGAGTGTCAAGCAAGAGTGTCCAGCAAGAGTGTAAGCAAGAGTGCCAAGAGAAAGTGTCAAGAAAGATTGTCTAGCAAAGAGTGTCAAGGAAGAGTGTCTAGCAAAGAGTGTCAAGCAAGAGTGTGAAGCAAGAATGTTTAGCAAAGAGTGCCTAGCAAGAGTGCCCAGCAAACGTGTCAAGCAAGAGTGTCTAGCAAAGAGTGCCCAGCAAACGTGTCAAGCAAGAGTGTCTAGCAAAGAGGGTCACGATAGAGTGTCTAGCAAAGAGTGCCAAGAAAGAGTGTCAAGCAAGAGTGTCCAGCGCGAATGTCTAGCAAAGAGTGTCCAGCAAGAGTGTCCCGCAAAGAGTGTCAGGCAAGAGTGTCAAAAAAGAGTGTCAAGAAAGATTGTCTAGCAAAGAGTGTCAAGAGAGAGTGTCAAGCAAGAGTGTCCAGCAAGAGTGTCTAGCAGAGTGTCAAGCAAGAGTGTCAAGCAAGAGTGTAAGCAAGATTGTCAAGCAAGAAGTGTCAAGAAAGATTGTCTAGCAAAGAGTGTCAAGAAAGAGTGTCAAGCAAGAGTGTCGTGTCAAGAGTGTCCAGCAAGATTGTGAAGCAAGAGTGTCCAGCAAGAGTGTCAAGCAAGAGTGTCAAGAACAAGTGTCAAGAAAGATTGTCTAGCACAGAGTGTCAAGAACAAGTTTCGAGCAACACATAGCAAGACTGTTTAGCAAGAGAAAGTCTCGTGGAAAATGCTCGTTTCTGGAAACTTTGATTGTCGCTTCTGGTGAAAGTCTCGTGAAACATGCTTGCTGCAGCTTTGGATGCGCTGGCGCTGCTTCTGCTGATGACTTTGCGAGTCATCCACAGAAAAGGTTTTGATTGATACACTTTTGTGCCTTTGCATTCTCCTCTATACATGAGTGACTGCATTCGGGTTCGTGGGTTCTATCAGTTTTATATTTTTTCGTTCGTCAACATGACAACATGTACTTTATGTTTGTGTATATAAGTATAGCAATAGATACAGTACACAGAAGCTCTGTACATATTTATACTCCAGACCTTTGCCCCCGGCTGGTGCTTCCACAGAGTGCGGCAGCCCAACCTTCGGCACTTGTGAATTCTCTTCCTCTGGAACTTATTTGGCGAACTTGTTAGTTCTTGATCAGAATGCATCAATCATAGCCAACGTCCGATTCTCTCTTGGCACGTCGCAACAACAACAACAGCAGCAGCATTGAAGGATATGATAGGACCGATAATTAGGGAGTGGGAAGCTAGCTCAGACTGATTTACTTTGGCAAAAGGCATTGCATGACGACAAGTTACTGAGAGACAATCTTTTGCAGAGCTGCGTTTGGTAGTTTGTCCATGCGAAAATCTTGGAAGGCTGGTGTCAGAACTTTCAGCTTGTCAAGAGATACAAACACATTTGGCGCAACTCAGACAGGATGGGTGCTAAGTGCTGCACTGAAAGGAAACCCCGTCCCAGAGGATGGGATGACAAGCCGTGGTGTGCTCAGGCAAACAAATAGTCACGACAACTGAGCTGGAGCGCCGAAGGGGCGACTCAGGTTTCCAAGCAAGATGACGACGAGTGAGGCTCCAAGAGCAGGACTTCGACAAATCGCAGATGGACCCAAGCACCTCATTTGTATCAACTTGTCAGCTTCTTAGGTTTGCGCCATGCTTGGGCCGAAGGCCTTTCCTGCAATGGGTTGAACACTTGCAGCCTGATACTGTAGAGACCATCTCATCGCATTGAGTTGATGTTGTGTGGTTTACCTCCAACCCGTTGCCATCCTTTGAATATTGATCCTCTCTCAGGCCTCAGTGGCTGCATTCTGTATGAGGTCTTTCTGGAGAAGGAGGATCCTAGCTGTCTTGGGAAATCTCGGGAACCTGAAAGCTTCGGGATACCTTGACAGTGTCGTGAGGATGAACCAATTGGTTTCGAACTTGAGACCGATACGTCCGCGTTGACAGTGAAGGCCGATGGTTGCAACATTTGGGACAGAAAGGGGGGAACACACTTTAGTTGAACGACGTTGGCACTTGCATGCCTTGTGATGCAGGCTGTCACGCCAGATGGACTTCTTGACAGGCCGGCACCCACAGGAGCACATGTTTTCTTTTGTCTTTTCATCGCTCAAAGTCCTGCAGGTATTGCAAACAAGAGGATGAGTTTGTGTGCCCAGGCAAAGCTGGTCTATGTTGATTATTGTTGATTCATGTTTGTCATGTTTGTTCTTTATGATTAGCAAGTTGCAATCGTCTTCCTACAAGGCGATAGGATCTACTCGGTGAATGACTTCACAGCTCCTTTGCATGCAGCCTTCAGTGCAACCATATAGTTTTAGTTGGCCTGCCGCGCGTAGACGGTCCCAAACGTTCTTCAACAAACAAAAAATGGTCCCGAAACCTCACGACCGTCGACAAGCGGTGGACCATGTAGTTTACTGTACTTTGTGGACGCCAGCAGAGGCCAGCAAGGCGACATCAAATAGCTGTATTCAACCTTGTGTGAAGGACCATGAACTTCATGATGGGTAGATTAGATTCTAAGTTGCATCCGTGCACGTCGCTGCCTTGGCAAAGGTGTATATATATATAATCTTGCTTCAACTCCAAATTGGTCCAAAGGCATGCCACTCCACGTGTGTAAGCTGTTTCAAGTGGCCGTTTTGTGTTCGGAAGGCTCTCAAAAGATCTTCCCCACTGATCGTATTCTTCGCCCAAGCTAAGCTGGACATCGTAGTCAGAGTTTCATGTCGGACTGTTGATAGATAGTAACTACAATGCTTCATCGTTGATATGGCTTTGCCCAACACGATCCAACACGTATTTAACGGAAAATAGATTGGGCGTCCGGGCATAATATATTTCCAGCACCAACTACTCTCAGATAGATTAGTCGCATCGGTTTGCACTGAATGTTGCCGTTACTTGCGTCGAAAGGTCTTCGGGAAGTCGCATCGGTTTCATGATTCCATGGGGTTTTATAATGCTTTGAGAACATGCGACATACAAATGATCTAGCTATTCCCTTGTTTTACGATGACTTTCACATGGGCTCTTTCAATGCACCAAAACATTCTTCAAACACTAAAGCGCCTTGGAAACAGGAACCTGATGTGACCCTGATGTGACCCGGTCGCATCGGGCCCCCCCTTGCAGATTAACAGTTTTCCAGTCACCTGATGTGACTAATATTGATGACAGTACCAAATGTGCTCAGAAGAGGGAAGCTGGCGATGCAAGTTATGTCGATGTTCCTTCAAGCCAAACGTATTTTTGTTGACACCAAGCAAACACATCATCGATATCACACAGGCGATGCAAGCGATGCATCATAAGCCACCATTTTGTACTCAGCTTCACTATCATGTCACGACCCTTGTAATGTAAGCAGTTGCTAAGTTGCGGTGGTGCTCGTCAAGTTGATCGTTACTGATGCAAGATTTGGTGCATCACATTCGCAAACGAGACATGATTTCTATATATTATATACTATTGCTATGTTTATTACTATTGTTATTATTTATTGTTATTACTATTATTGTTATTGTTACTATATATTTCCTGAGAGATTTTCTGGCCTCAGTTTTCTTTGAATTGCACTTGCATGAGGTCTCCGAGAATCTACATTTAGTACTACTCACCTACTCACTACTCATCTCTCGCTGACTGATCGAGCCAAGGACAAATCAGATATGATGCGCCAATTGAAGGAGTGGCTTGCCGTTGTCCAGCATTGTCGAAGTACAGACCAGTAGAACTCCCCAACAGGGGTCGAGGCTCAAAGAAACACATCTCACACAAGACACTCAGGCAGCAGAAGCTGGAGATTGTGTTCTCAAAGCTTATCATTGTAGCTTGCCTGATGACACCTATAGTTCAATTTACTGACACTGAGTTGCTTCTGATCATTTGAAGATTTGTAAGGAAGTCAAAATCTTGAAACGTCCTGGAAAGAAGTTGGGCGCTGCTACGGATCCGAAGACATTCGTATCTCGGCCGTCTCGGCTGAGCTTCTCTTCGAACATTTTATGCACATATCTAACTCTATCTATATCATAATTGTTGTTCATTAGTTTCTTGAACATTGTACTCTTTGACAACTGTCTTTAGTTCGAGCAGAGTTGAGCCGAGACGATCCTGAAGATTGCAGAAGAAAGCCTCATTGATGATTGGAACAAGCAGTACCCGAAGGCTGACTTTCTTTAGTACTGAACAAGAAGCCACTCCTGGACATGTCTATCAGCTATCATCTTAGCTGATTATAGGACCGGATATGCATCGGTGACACTGTGCTGGCTGTCAATGGTGTGGTTGACAAGGACAAGGCAGAAAGCATATCCAAGCCTCATGTAAGCATGGAGTCCTTGACAGTCATCGATAGATCTCTTTGTAAATGGTTTGCCTTCGAGGCCGTTCAAGAGATAGCCTCCAAAGAAGAGCTATTGCTGTTACTTGGCGAGCAAAGTAGAGAAAACAGACTCGAGGAGAGGGTCCTGAGAGGACCAAAGAGATCCAAGAGATTCTAAGAGTGTAAAGGGATCAGAAAGAGATCGGCATTCCTTTTGTCGTGAGGCGAATGGTGCGTGGTCCACGCCGAGAGATGGAGGCGGGATGTTAGTCAAAGTTGGTGGCTTTCAACACGTCTTTGGCATCGTTTGCTGCAGGGGGTCAAAGACACAAAATCAACTGCAATGTCCCTAGAGCCCTGCGGGAGACTCCGGATTTGCAAGTTTGCTCACTTTGTACAGAGGATGGGAAAGGAAAACCACCAGCACCTGAAAAGTGGCGCACTTAGCCAGAACGCAATTCCTAACATAATGGGAGAGGAAGGCTGATGAATTTTGTTGCCAAGGCCGACCTTGAAAATGTAACACTTGGACCGAAGGGGACGAAAGGAACGAACAGAATCAGGAATTGGATGGATTCGGCTTTGATGTTTTGTGATGTACTTGCAGCTTTGTTTCTTTGGTTTGGCCTAATTTTGCATAATCTTGCAAGACTTCAACCAGGAATTCCAGCAAGATTTGAAGAGCTCTGAGAGAAGAAAGCTAACCCGAACACGTTCGACATGAAGGTCCTGCATCGATTCCGCTGGGCACACGCTGTGAATAAGTGAATCTTTACATGGAGGTTCGGTGAGGTTCGAACGATTCGATGGCGGACAAAATGGCCTAGTGGTGGTTGCAAAACGTATGCAAGGTTGAGCTGGAGACATGTTTATACAATTGTTATCAACCATGAAACATGGGAAAGGCTACAGAGGGTGACCTTTGGCAACTTGCACCTGCATGGCAAACCATGCTTTCCTGAAATACTCTCAAGCACGAATTCAGAGTGGCCAAAAGGGCCCCCCACCTTGGAAAGCTGCGCACCTTGCCGCAGTGAGAGGTTGTTTCACAAAATAAAGATGAGCAAGAGACACGCTGCACGACGAGCAAGCAACGCAAAACATTTGCAACGACTGCATGTCAAGACCATTCTCATCCTTTCTCTGAAGTGTTCATTACTTGGGTATCGGTACCCAATGAAAGAACCACATTCAAGGCTTCTCAACAGCTCGTAAATGCAATGTAACAAACACAAGAGCAAATTGCAGCATAATGAGACATCAACATGTCATTTGAGTTTATCAAATCCAGACAGTTGCCGTTGGACAAAGTTGCCGATGAAGTGTCATGAAGCAGATCATGACACGTGGGCAGCGGCAACGACTGAGGTGTCATGCTGAGCAGACAAGACTCTGTACTGGCAATTGCCTAATATACTTTGTGATCCAACATACTGTCAACTTGAACATGCAGTTGTGGCCAACAAGAGCTGCAACGCGAAGCAGTTCAGGGATTTGATTCAGGACAGGCGGCGCGTCAACCAGTACCACTTGCCAGGACAGCCCATGACACACTCAGGCCTGACTCTTCTGGAGCTTCTCAAAGAGTTCGGCTTTTGGCTTGTTGTGCTGAAGTGACTCTTTTTTGGATTTGATTCTGCCCGTTGTGTGGCGTTTGTGTTCAGGCAGAGCGGCACCAGGGACACCTCTAATGGACGGGACTTCAGTGAATTACCGTTCAGCTTGGTGTTGATTTCACATGATTTTACCACCACAATCTGTTTTTGGTGCTTGTGGAGGACGGGCGTACCGTCTCAAAGTCCATGAAGATGAGCTCTAAGATGACGAGTGGTCTGACGAGAACGCAGCAGCGGCGCCTGCCTCAACGCGAGCCTGAGACACCTCAGTGGCCACCTATTGGCCTAGTGCACACACCTCATGGGTTTGCATAGTAAGCTTTGGGGGAACTGGCAAACCATTATGACGAACAAACAACATATGTATATATATACACTGTATACTAGAAACAAGACAAAAGCAAGGAAAAAGCAGCTAAGGCCAATGCCATTAATAAGATTCTATCAGGGCCCCCTTAATAGGAGCCCCATACAAAAATGATCTAAAATTGCCCTTGCCTTCTTTCTTTGATTGATTCATACTGTTTTCTTCAAAAGAGTCTAAAATATATGTCGACATGTGTCGAGACAGACCTCAACTCAGACTCACTATTCCGGAGAATGTAATCCTCCACTGATATCCATCCGCTGTTATGTCAGAACTGTGTTTGCAGCATGCACTTTGAAACAAATTATCAGCCTCTTCTTTTTTAGCTATACAACTTTGGAACTGCTGAGGATCCTTTCAAGTTCAGAGCTCAGACTGCAATGTAAGTGTGACTTAGCTCTTTGGCCTGTAGCCGCTAGCACGCACATGCTTAAGTGTAATTTTTCACGGACCCATGCCCTCTGACTCCAAACAATGCAACAACATTGTGAATACTCTTGACAAGACTGTACAGCGACAATAAAAGTCAACCTGTCACGCACTTTAGATGTGAAACGTTTCTTTTGGTCCTGAACTTCATGGTCACACTTATATATCTACAAAAGTGTGATCATTTTGTGCAATATTGTTGGCGTACCTAAAGCAGGGGTCTATGTTGTGCAAGACCAGTGTCCGTTTCTCGGCATTGGAGGTTCGTTCGTTGTCTTTTGCAGACAAGTAGCATCGTTGTGACACACTTGTGTTCTTCAGATCTCTGAAAAAGACTCACTTGTTGAAACTGGATCTATAGATAGACTCTTCTTATCCATCCCATCCAAACCAACACCTCATGACATGTTAGTGCGCATGCATGTTGATTACTTATTGACTTTAAGGGCAGGTTTGGCAAGCAACCCACGAAATAGAAGCACATTGCAGCAAGAACAAGATACTGCATCATGTATGTGACCACTTGCTGAATCCTTGCATTTAGATGGCTCCCGCTATTTGGAGCTTGAGGAGCAGGAGGAGGACGTCTGAAAAAATTACAGTATCACAGATGTCTTTGGCTCATAGATGCTCATAGTTTGGCCACCCATTGCCTTTGAGGAACTGGAGGCATCGCGGCGAAAAGATGTGAAGTCTTTGAGTGCAGAAGATGAGGAGGGAATGGCTGTAGTCAGAAAAGGAACGCATTGAATCTTGTTACTAGTAGCTTCTTGTTGGCCTCCAACCTAATAGCGATGGCCTCCAACCTAGTATATAGCTTCTTATTATTTGGAAGGAAAAGAGTTTGGACCGAAATTCAGACAGTATTGGCTCACTTTATCCGATGAGAGATGTGACAGGCACTTTTGGACGACCTGTTTATTCAAGCTCAACAGGCTGGGCAGTGTAGCGTAGCATCCTGAAGCTTGTTCCATAATGTTCCATACATGTCAGAAATGTGCCACGAGGATTGGCAATTTGGTGAATCGGTGTGCTGCCAGGAGAGCATGCGAGACCTCATGGTTTGCTGGCGGATTTGGTTGAGAAGTTGAGACTCTACACACTGACTTTGCTCATACTTTGCTCATGGTTGATACATCCCTTTGTCCTTCCACATCCAATTTGCTCCAATGCAGCTTAGGCATTCATTGAAGTGACTGTTCTGATATCTCCTGACCAAGCCCTTGGCAAGAGACTTACCACTTGCCCGCAAAGATAGCAAAGAAGGAGAAGAAGGAGGCTTAAGGCTTAAGAATCCCATTGAAGTTCCCGCTCCATAACCTAGGTTTGCACTTGGATGGCGTGCCAGCTGACATCTCAGTTTTTGATTACCATGATTGTTTGCTGTCCTAGTACTATCCACTCTGTCCTTCCTGTGTTCTGAGGTTACCGCAGCAGCTGCGTGGGAAATCCCATTGTCGACTCAGGTGTGCAACAATACGAAAGTCTTCAGTCTCCAGTGTTTGTCACAGGTGACGAAGATAGAGCCGCATGGGCTCTTGCAAATCTGGTCCCAGCCAGATCAGGCTCCCCTTGGCGATTCTGGAGCATTTGTTGAAGATGATGTCGAAAGTGAAACTGAACCAATACTCAGAGCGGTCTTTGGTTTTTGAAATTTTGACACATGTCAGTAGCTCAAGATTTCTGAATGTGCCTTTGGAATGCAGTTGGTCGTTGACGAAAACGCATCCCTGCGACTTGCGCGGGCAATTACCTTGGCTGATGCAGTGCGACAGAAGCGATGTGAGGAGTGATGTGAGCTTGCAAGCCTGTTCGCTCTCCATGGCTCTCCCTATCTCAGGTTGATGGAAGGGAGGGGCTCGATGGAGTGAGCTACTTGAAGAGCATCTTCCAGACCTACAAAATGCGCCAGACAGGCCTTGCTTGTTAGTCTTGGACCAGAAGATCGAACACACAATGCTGCAAACACAATCCTTCAAATGACATTATAGATCGATACGGATACCATCACATGGAGAAAACAATGTTCAAAAGAAAGAAAGTGAGCTGAGGTCAGGAGGTCATCACAGATTTTGTCCTCTGAGCCATTTTGGCTCAAGATTTGAAGAGGGGCGTGATCCGGTTTCGAACATGGATGAGTTTGAAATCCTGCTGTGCATTGTCTGCCAAGGCGTTCCAAGATGGGTTCGGAGGCATTTCAGGTTGGAGCGTGCCGGTGGAAGCAATCATTACGGCGATGTGGTTCTGAGCATGGCGAGCAGCCCTTTACCTACGGACACCGAAATGGCCGGTCTCACCGACTTGACGGCCATTGTTAGACTCTAGATTCTAGACAGTGTGCCTTGGACGCTGCAGCTTGGCGGGAAGTCAATGCTGGCTTTGGCAATTTTCCCACGGCCCGATTGCTGGCTCATGCCCCTCCTGAAGGGATCGCCGCAGCTCTGGAACAAATGAACAAATGGAGATGGAAGGGTGGGGGCAGATGGCGCTCCATTGGATTGGATCCTCCAACTAGGCCGTTGACAATGGTTGAGATGGTGCAAGCAGCTTTTCTTTGGCTTTGCAGAAAGTGTTTTGGGCTCGTGGACATTGACCTTTTAGCGCCAGGCGTTGTTGCAGGTTTGTCAGGTCCCAGTGCACCAGCAGCTGCAGTTGCACCTACACCAGTGGTCGTTGGTGGAGCCACGAAGCAGTTGGGAGTTCAGAAGGTGAAGGTATCTCAGATTACTGACTGGCTAGACGACGCGGAGTTGGAACTGGTGGGAAAAGCTGAGGTAGATGAAGCCTATGCTCAATACAGGTTGGTCATGGCTGCAGGCCCTGTCAAGGAGACAGAGCCCACGGCTGAACAACGCTCACACCCTATGCGAGGAGGACGCAACGTCAGCTGAAAGCAAAAGGTTTTCTACTCCAGGATGAGGGAACTTGGAAGCAGACAGAAGTTGCTGGACAGCCCAATTTCTATGCGTGGACTGCATGTTGGGATGTCTATAGGACAAGTCTGTTGATGCTGAAGCATGATCCCTTGGCGCCTGGAGGAGACAAGAAGCCGCCGGTGATCACATGGGCTGCGCTTGATGAGTGTTTCAGGAACATTGCAACCCAGCTCAGGCGTTCATTTCGAGGCAGGGAGGACGCGCTACGAGCCAGCAAGAGGCTGAAGGTTTGGATATGACAGGCGCTGAAAAGGATGCCTCTCGTGTGCCAAAGGGTGCCCATCGTCTGCCTGCTCAAGGTGACTCCAAGGCGGCCAAAAGTCGGAGAAGAGAAAGAGAGAAGCGGGAAGAAGACTGGAGGAAGAGTCGCGTTTTGCAACCCGTGAACGAGTATGAGTTTTTACAGCTGGCATGGCTCAGAGGGCAAAGGAAACATCCAGCCCGAGGAGTTCTTCGCGATGGGAATCAGATCTGTTACAAGTTTGCAAAGGGTCAACCAGGCGCACGCCAAGAGCCATGTGGTGATGATCGCGCCCATGTTTGTCAGTTATGCCTGGGACAGCGTCCAAATGTTCAGTGCTTGAAGGGCAAGAGTGGAGACAAG